GTAGTTATGTAGTTGGTAGTTGGTATAACAGTTGGTATGTAGTTATGTAGTTGGTATAACTGGTAGTAGTTTGTGTTGTACATTGGTATGTAGTTATGTAGTTGGTTAGTTGTTAACAGTTGGTATGTAGTTATGTAGTTGGTATAACAGTTGGTATGTAGTTATGTAGTTGGTATAACAGTTGGTATGTAGTTATGGTAAGTTGGTATAGTTGTATGATAAGTTGGTATAACAGTTGGTATGTAGTTATGTAGTTGGTATAACAGTTGGTATGTAGTTATGTAGTTGGTATAACAGTTGGTATGTAGTTGGTATGTAGTTTATAGTTGGTATAACAGTTGGTATGTAGTTGGTATAGTAGTTGGTATAACAGTTGGTATGTAGTTATGTAGTTGGTATAACAGTTGGTATGTAGTTATGTAGTTGGTATAACAGTTGGTATAACAGTTGGTATGTAGTTATGTAGTTGGTATAACAGTTGGTATAACGTTGGTATGTAGTTATGTAGTTGGTATAACAGTTGGTATGTAGTTATGTAGTTGGTATAACAGTTGGTATAACAGTTGGTATGTAGTTATAGTAGTTGGTATAACAGTTGGTATGTAGTTATGTAGTTGGTATAACAGTTGGTATGTAGTTATGTAGTTTGTATAACAGTTGGTATGTAGTTGTATGCTATTGTTAACATGGTATAAACAGTTTATGTAGGTTATGTAGTTGGTATAACAGTTGGTATAACGTGGATATTCAGTTATGTAGTTGGTTAACATTGGACTAATGAAACTTGTATGATATTTATGATTCTTGTTTTACAACATTGTAATAACCATTGGTTTTATGTTACTGTCAGGTGGTATGAAGAGTTGTATGGTAGTTACTGTTAGTCCTGGTATAAATAGTTCATCAATGTTTAACATTTTAACAATCTGGTTATGTTAAGTTATGTTACTTATTCTAATCTGTTAAACCAATTAATGAACAAAACGACACATGTTACAGTGGAGGAGTTTTAAATGCCTCTGCTTAGGTCCAACGGCAGAATATGGTATGGATTCTGACAAACACAATTACAGCTCATCTTTAATTACCTGGACTGACATGCAACCTTTTATAGGATCTGGCTTTACGATTCCGTCCTTCTGAACATGATTAGAGCATACTGACATGGATTTTATGAACATGTTTAACAAGGTGGTTTTAAGGTAATGTATTGTTAGAAGTAGCCTACTGTAACTAGGTTCCCACTGGGCAAAAAATAGTTCAATCAACATTGTTTCCATGTCATTTCAACAACAAAAAATCTATGCGATTTATTTTAATTTTATTTTACCTTTATTTAACTAGGCAAGTCAGTTAAGAACAAATTCTTATTTACAATGACCGGCCTACACCGGCCAAACCCGGACGACGCTGGGCCAATGAAATTGAATCAATGTGGAAAACTGATTGGATTTGCAAAAAGTCCTCAATGTAAAGTAATTTCATATTTTTTTTCACCGAACCATTAACCTAAATCCAATGACATGGTGAAATGTTTTGTTGATTTCACATTGAATTCACATTAGTTGACAACTCAAACAAATGTAAATCAAAACTAGACATTGAGCTGACATCTGTGCCCAGTGTGGTTTTATATCAATGTGTTATTTGGGCCTGTTTAACCAGGACATTCCCAACGTCCCATGAAGCCCTTTAATATTCCATCAACAGGCTATAGATAGACCCAGGCTTAGAATGATTAGCCTAATGGATGATGTCTGATCAATTCAATTTGATCAAATTAATTTCATCTTAAAATTATACTTTTTTGAAAATGCTTAGAAAGTTTTAAATCTGTAACTAACCAACTAATCAATTCACCTTGGACCCGCTGTTGCCTGTCCGTTGGCGGTCTGAGCGAGAGCAGATCGGCCTTTTTCTGCACTCTTTTGTTATTATCGCAGCTGGCACGTGTCTGGTCTGAATGGAATGGGGCAGTAATTAAATTAACAATGAACAACAATTACTCTGTTAATGATGTAGACAAACGGTTAGTGATACCAGTAGTTTGTTGTTAATGAAGTAGACAAACGGATAGTGATACCATTAGTTTGTTTTTAATGAAGTAGACAAACGGTTAGTGATACCAGTAGTTTGTTTTTAATGAAGTAGACAAACGGTTAGTGATACCAGTAGTTTGTTGTTAATTAAGTAGACAAACATTCATGATACCAGTAGTTTGTAGCCGGGATGTTGATGTGTTTCTGATGTGGGATGTTGTTCTGAATAAAGGGGATCCCTAGTCTCCGGGATGACGTCAGAGTCCTCAGATACAGTACTGTGACAGGGCCGTGACCGGCTGGCTGCCCGGGTTCACTGGCAGCTCCTTATAACGACTACATGATGGCGTTATGGGTATGAGACTATGACTGAGGGGTAGCCTATGGGTGAGGGGTAGGGGTGAGGGGTATGGGTGAGGGTGATGGGTGAGGGGTATGGGTGAGGGGTATGGGTGAGGGTAGGCTGCTGATAGTTTCGATAGCCCTACACAGCCTGGATGAGGGTCAGGAACCAAGACATATTTCCATGGTTTGGACTAAATCTACAGCACTTTGATAACTAATGATTAATCTAGTCCTACTGCATTGTTGAGGGAGCGAGCACATTAGCATTTCGCTGCACCTTTTATACCTGCTCTATCTCTGTAGCCTACATGACGAATCAAATGTGATTTGATTTCGATTTGATTCATTAATTAAAACAATAAAACATCCTAAATACAAATAAAAAGCAGAATCTTCACTACTAATGAGACATTTCAGTCTGTAGGCCTATGTGTTTATATTTGGTCTGTTGGTGTGTGTAATTAATGAATGGCTAATATCGTTACACTAGGCCTGCAGCCTAATATAAGAAACTCTGGCTGGAACGGTCCGTTTGAACGGCTCTGGCCTTGCAGCAACAGGCTTCATTTAAATACTGACCACCTGTTTCTTGCTCCACGCCTAGCGCCCTGTGAAATTAATTTAGTAATGTGTACATAAAGCAGACATTGCCTCTGAATGACCCCCCTCCCCTAACATCCCATCACTGAGCTATGTAGGTCAGGCCAGTATGTTGTCATGGCCGGTTGTTATGTTGCCTTATAGCCAGGCTGTTGTCATGGCGGGTTGTTATGTCGCCTTTAATAACTTACACTGACCAAGACTCTTATTTGGGCTGGCGCTGCATGCGATGGAAAGGTACGCTTGTGGCCATATGAACCCGGTGTCTGACTTAGTGTACAACTTCGCCACATGGGCATAACAGTCCACAGCACACCGTTCAATACAACACATTAATATACAATCTATAGGCCTACAAAGGCGTTTATACATCATTAATATAGCCTACCCTAGAAATTATTCATTTCAAATATTTTCTTCAATCTGTATTTTGGATCTTGGATTGTGTTGCTGTCTGTTTTTATTTCTAGCATATTATTTCTATTTGTATGGTAATGTGTAGTTCCCACTAGTGTTGATACGGTTGATTGATCGAATTGTTAACCTATTGCTGATATAATTTTTACCTGCTTTAACCTTTAAATGTATTTGTTGAAATGTGGATTAATTTGTAGGCTACTGTCTCTATCACGCCTAAATAAATGAACAAATAAATTCAGCATAGCATTAACACATACCCTAATCATGTGAAGCATTTCCATGCTTTCTTAATAACTTAAATTCCCTGCTGGAAACTGAAACGACACTCCGTTTCAGTCTGAAACGTCAGTCGGCCCGTCTATTTAAATATAACAAGTCTGAAACGTCAGTCGGCCCGTCTATTTAAATATAACAAGTCTGAAACGTCAGTAGGCCCGTCTATTTAAATATAACAAGTCTGAAACGTCAGTAGGCCCGTCTATTTAAATATAACAAGTCTGAAACGTCAGTATGCCCGTCTATTTAAATATAACAAGTCTGAAACGTCAGTAGGCCCGTCTATTTAAATATAACAAGTCTGAAACGTCAGTAGGCCCGTCTATTTAAATATAACAAGTCTGAAACGTCAGTAGGCCCGTCTATTTAAATATAACAAGGGAAGAAGAGAGGAGAAAGGATGTCAAGATGAAACCATCTGGCATTCTATTTTAAAACATATATTTGAATTGGGACATATACAAGCAAGTTGACATATTGACAAAACAATACAACTAAACCCGCTCCAAAGCATGAAAAAATATGTTTCAACTGTATTTATAAACATATTTGTGTTGTAAAATGTTCAGCTCGGCCTATAGGCTTTTACAAAGTATTTCCACTTAACCCAAACTATTGGATTAGTGGTCTGTAAATGTTTCGTTCACTTGAGGATTTCGATTAAATTCCAGTCCTAAAGGAAGGAAGCATAGAGGTTTCAGCAACAAAAAAACGAAAGAATTGAAAGACAAGTTCATAATAGTTTCTCATCTAATTGACAACATTAAGACGCTTTCACAGGGTCTTTATCACTCTCTTTCAAGTAATGTTAACCCTTAAAATTAAAGTTCATAAAATGTCACTTTAACGCCTAAAGTTAGGCTATTTAGTATATTTATCATAAAGCGTATAGGCTAGTATATTTATCAAAAAGAGTATAGGCTAGTATATTTATCAAAAAGAGTATAGGCTAGTATATTTATCAAAAAGAGTATAGGCTAGTATATTTATCATATAGTAGGCCTATAGGTTAGTATATGTATCATTCAGTGGTTGTAAACGGATTAATGTCAGATGGCGCTGATCGTTTATGAGATGATTTACGGTAGTAGCCTTCACTTCAACCTCAACGGGATGTTGATAGGCATGGTTAACTGTATTAGCCTATATATACTACACTGATAGTTATTATAGTATAGCCTAGTAGTATGCTGTTATAGTAGTTCATTTTTTAAAGTAGGCGATATATTATAATTTCAGCCTGTCTGTCTGAGTGTTCATTTCTCTGCCGCTGAGATTCTGAGAGTTGGAGCTGGAGTCTCGAGCCTTGCGGGGCAGCAGATGGAGCCGGTCCGGGCTCGATCTCACTGCGCATCTGGTGCTGCGCTTCCCGCGCTGTCCGCGAGGCTGCTCCACGAGCTAAGCCCTATTAGCACCGTCTACTACGCAACTGGTGCCTCGCGCACACAGCGCGCTCTGCCCGGTGGACACGCAGGGAAAAGCTTAATCCTCACATGCGACAACTGGCCTTCAAACGCGCGGAGGTTTCATCAAGCCTCGAGGCAAAACAATCGAATTACTTAATTTACTCATGGACATGAGGGCCTTGAGAACCTTATATTTAAAAATCATCCATTAAACCTTGTATAATGTGTGCGTTTCATGATCTTGTTTTGTGGTTGTAAATTCTCATTTGGATTATATAATTTAGAAGAGATGTAGGATAATATTGTTGAGATGAGAGAGTGTTGTGGTGGTTATTCAGCGATAGGCCTGAGACCTGCAGGAACAGATGGAGAAATAGTTTCCTAATTCAAGACTAAGACTCAATATCGGCGTCTAACTGGCCTGCCTGTCTGTCTGTCTGTCTGTCTGTCTGTCTGTCTGTCTGTATAAGCGTCTCTGGTGACTGGTTATTATAATGACACAGTCTGCACTCTGCACATTAATATCACATCGTTACAGTTTAAACCACAACCGGTTGTTTCAGTTAAACATTGATTAACATTTCCACGTGCCTGTTGGGCTGCCGGTTTTGGTAGTGGAGTGGGCGGATGGGCTTAGGGTCTGGCCGCTCCCGGAGTAATTGCGATAATTTGGGTTAAATAATTAGGCTTGAGGCTTTAAAACACTTTAAAAGCACCATCGTGCCCTCACGTTGACTCACTTTCTCTTCTCTCTCCCTCCATCCCTCCCTCTCTCTCTCAGTGTGTGTGTGTGTGTCTGAATGTGTTATATCTGACAGACTGCTAGAGTAGTTCAGTACTGAGGCAGACAGAGAGAGCTGCAGGGCCTGACCGGAAGCACAGACTTCTTCTGTCGTTTCACATTTCTCTTTTCCTCTCTTCCCTCCCGAGCCGGCAGGCCCTCACTCTCAATCTCTCTCTCTCTCTCTCTCTCTCTCTCTCTCTCTCTCTCTCTCTCTCTCTCTCTCTCTCTCTCTCTCTCTCTACCAGCCCGTTACCCGTCTAACCGGCTCAGGACCACCCTGTGGGCAGGCGCACAGGTGAGCGCGGGTGGTTGAGCTCATCATAGTGACCACCGTGTCTCACGCTGATTTCCCGTTCCTAGCCAGTGTCGCCAGCTGACCTCCGTGCAAGCCCCAGCCTGTCACACAATGGAGTCAGAGTCTTGTAGCGGTCTGCTCGAGGGCAACATGGCAGAGGACACTTCCCCTCAACGCGTGAGCCGGGGTTGAAGATGCTCGATCCAAACCAACAAAAGAGAAGAGACGAGTTGGTATCTCCGTTTCCCTCACGAGCTGCAACCTTATGGCCCTTCTGCATGAGCGCAGAGCACAAACAAACACACAAAAACTTATCCTGGTAATATCACAAAGCCTCAACAATTTACTGTGAAATGCCGTTTTGTTAGCCTATAAATGTACGTTATAAATGTCCATGTTCCATTTATGACATAAAAGAAAAGCTACGAGGTTTATTTCTCAAAGAAAATCCAGTGCTGTTAGCAGAAATTATCTCCTGATTATTGTCATTATTTCTCTCCAGGAAATGATCTTCTTTCCTGGTATACACTCATTGCATAGCCGATTGTCCCTTATTTCCAAATACATCTGGAGCAGACATTACTGTTTAATATGGAGTCTATTTGATTTAAAAACAAGGACAATTTAAAATAATAGTAATAAAGGCAATAAATAAGTATATAATAATATATCATATTGATATTAATTACACAACAACAATAACGATAGTAATACAAATAAAACAATAATAATCATATTGGTAATAGTAATAATAAAATGCTTAATAGAGATTCGTTGACGGTGCACGGCAATCAAGTGCTCTGTTTGAAAAAACTAAATAGCCTATATAAAATGACATTTAGTTTAATAGATCAGAAAAAAATATTCTTAAAACGAAGATACATGTTTATTTCATAAAGATTGCCTAAATAAACCAGGGGATGTTTTGAAATCAACTTACATTTAGTTGAAAATCCGATTAGTTTTGTAATAGCCATGTGGGTAAAACGAAGAAAGCAAACCGTCTGAAAATACAAAGGAGCAAAAATAAAATGTCCACAAAAATGGTAAAACATTTTGAAAGTGTCGGTTCCTTATTAGGGAAGATACAATATTTATTCCTTGTCTCCTGGGATGGAAGCAGCTAGCTCGTCTATTGTCCTCCATCCATTCCTCAGTGCTGATGCTTATTTTTCTAACTATATTATCAGGGGACCACCGACGACATCACAACAGAAATACCCTGCAAGTACAAAATCCGTGCGCCAGCCGGTGTGATGGTACAGAGGGAAACGCTCGCGTTCCACCATCTATAGGGCGGCTCCGTGCAGGGACTTTTTCAATTTCTCTCGGTTT